AGAAACTGCAGTCACCACCAGCGGCAGCCGCTCCTCTGTTCTCAAGGGTGCCGCTCCTTTGTTCTCACGGGCATTGAGGCTGCTCCTCCGCTTGCCCTGGCCTGAGCTCGCTCTTCTGCTTGCCTGGTGCTGAGGCAGCTCTTCTGCTTGCCCTGTGCTTCCTCCTGTCGTCGCTGCTCCTGCCCAGTCCCCGACCCCAGGGCTGGTGTGGAGACTGTGTCAGTGGGGCCACATTCAGACACAGGAGACCAGGTTCCGTGACTCAGGTCTGCTTTATTGCAGCAAGGCACAAGCTTATATAGGGGTAGTGGTCCAATCACAGCACAGCAAGTAGGATACCTTATTAGCATCATCCTATTAGCATAACAGACAATGTCCTATCACAGAATAGAGGGTAGAATGCCTCATTAGCATACTGGGTTTCAGATTACAGAGCCTGGATTCCTGGAAACCATGTGACTCTGACAGTTGCAATATCACCCTAGGCTCAAGCCTGTCTCCCATAAGAAACAGTGAGGGAGAAAAAGAAAAAAGAAGAGAAAGGACAGGAAGAAGTAGAGGGACAGATTGCTCTCTGACAAAATAGCCAGCCCTTCACTTGTATTACTTTGTATAGATGTCACCAATTAGTGAGTAAAAAGCTCCACTGATACAGTTTGCAATAAGCATATAAGTAGATTCAGTGTCTTATTCCTTTTTAAAAAATATTTTATTTATTTTTATTTTATGCATATGAGTGTATTGCTGGCATGGATTGCTGGCTAAGGGGCAATGCTAAAGCCGCATTGGGCCCCTTCTGCTGCTGCCCAAAGGGAGGGAGCAGAACATAAATCAATGCCTACATGTACCCACAGTCTGCACTCACATTTGCACTCCTGAAAATCCTCATCACCCCCATGGTGACTCTGTAGTCCAGAGTGCCCAATCAGAACACATGTAATTTCCATACAAGGAAGACAAAGAACTAGAGTATAACAAGGGTGTATGAGATGACTCCTCACTGTGTTTGGGGCTCAGCCTTTGGTTACAAACCTGCTGAGTCTTCCAGCATAAAATGAACCCTACTTCCTGACACAAAAAGCCCCAATGTCCTGCCTCTCTAAGTGAGTGTCCTACAACATATTCTGGGGGTTGTGCTGGATAGCTTTAGTGTCAACTTGACACACCTGGGTTGAGGGAGCCTCAATTGGGGAATTT